TCACAACGAAGATTTACTTCCTGCTGGGGCTGCATACTCATTGAAGGTCAGTAGCAGTATCATCTGAAGTCAGGCTTTACTCCAAGAAATCCTGGAATGTATGTCTGAAGGAGTGGCTCCTATCAAAGACTTGCCGAGTCTCACAGTAGAAGGAAAAGAGAGACAGTGGAACAGAATATAAGTAGGTCATAAAGCTCCTGTTAAAAAGTGCTTAAATCACTTCCACTTTCATCTCATTGACCAGAAGGAGTCCCGTGGCCAAGTCTGATTTTAACAGTGTGGAGAAATATAATACTCAACCAGGAAGAAGTAACAAATTTTTAAAATAATATAATCTATCCCAGCACACTGGTCTTCTCTGCTCCCCTCTCCCCAGGCCACTTTCTGGCATACCATATCTCTTTCAGGCAGTCATAGGCATTTTTCACATGTGGGGAAGGTGAGCGGGACATGAGGCTGCCCTCACTCACATCTGTCTGGACATACTGGAGGGCAGAGTTCTGGACGTGCAGGGAGATACACAGCTACCTGGTATCAGACCTCCAAATATGTTCAACCTTCAGTGTCTAATGTGGTTCTAAACATAGTAGACACTCTAACAGCCCAAACATTTGCAGGGCCCAAAGCAAGAATACAAATGGAAGTTCATATATTATATGTCCAAATATTTTCAAATCATGACATGCTAGGAAACTACTATGCAGGATACATTCTAACTTTCCACATAAATCCTAATTAAGATTGAGAAGGCTAGATGCTCCTCAGAACATAACAGAACAAAGACAGTCTGCCCAATCCCAGATGCCAGGTCCACTTGGATGGACCTTTTCTTTTCACCCTCCTGCTCTCCGTGCACCCAAAGGGCCTTGTGCCTTTACATCATTAACGCATTCCCAGCAGCCTTTCCATGCTTGATCCACATTCCCACGTTGAAGGGTATATTCACCACCAATAGCTTAGTTTGCTTTTGGGAAGGCAGATTTGGGAAAAGACCCACAGAAGCCTGAGAAACAATTTCAGTGATATTTGGACTGGAAATTCAGATGCCCTGGAACCTGTAGAACTTTCTAGAAGGGTGTGTGGGGGTTATGGACTGGAAATTC